TCCAATTTCTCCACATCCTCTCCTACAATTTTTTTTTTAATTATAGCTGTCCTACTGGGTATGAACTAGCATCTCATTTTTTTTATTAGCATCTCATTTTGATTTCCATTTCCTCAATGACTAATGATGTTGACCATCTTTTCACATGCTTATTGGCCATTTATAGATCGTCTTTGAAGAAAGTCTATTCAAGTCTTTGCCCAATTTTGAATGGGTTTGTGGGTTTTTGTTATTGAGGAGGGGCAGAATCTTAAGGGGCATTTGTCATTAACCACCTTTTCAATCTTATTTCCTACTGTTTGGACCAAAAAAACATCAGCTTATCCAGTGTTTCAGTGTTCCACATTTCGGCACCCTCTCTATTCCTTTTTCATTTCTTCTTGCAAATCGGTCATTTGGTACCTTGATAAATGCAGTCAGAAACGAGAAGTCACACCACTACCATTGTTTTCCAACAGTTTCTTCCAAAGTGAGACTCAATGGGCAATTTGTTCACCTTCCAAGTTGTCATAGGAGATACAAAACCATCAGATATTTTATTCTGAAGAGCATAGGTCTTTATCTTTCCAGCCCCAAATAGCCGTTTCTTCACAGTTTACCAACCCTGGTTAAACCAGTGCCACATGTTTCAGATTCTTGTAATAACAACATCTCATCCGACCAACTGAGATATTAGAGAAACACTAGCTGTACCAACATACATCAGTTTTCAGTGTTTTAACTAAACAGGTTTACTTCTCGGTTGTATAAACAGTCTAAGACAGTTTTTGGTGGGCATACTTTCACATGGTAATCCAGGAACCCAAGCTTTCCCATTTTGTGACTCTGCCATTGCCTTGGAGCTCGGCGTCTTTCAGTTTCCAGTAGCAGATGGTTAACCAGGGGGCGGAGGGAGCACATTCACTTACGTCCACTTCAGCCCCAAAGTGAGACCCATCACTTCTACCCACAACCTATTGGTAAGAATTAGTCTGATAGTTTGCCTCAGTGCAAGAGGCAGAGAGGGACGCAGCGTAGGGTGGGGTGAGGAGCCTGAGAAATGTGGCCTGTGATCAGAGTGACGGTTGCCAGCAACAATTCCACGTGACGGAAGGGGGAGTCAAGTCTTCTGTGGATAGTTGGCTGTCTTTGTCCCATCTGCCGTAAAGGAAAGTCTAAAGGAAGTTTTTTGGTAGTTGGAAAATTACTTCAGAGAAAAAGTCCGAGTTTCAGCAAAAAATTAAAGAAAGGAGAAAGCGGTAACGGTTTAGGTAATAGTAAATGACCATTGATTGCAGTACAAGTGGTGAGAAGTGCTTGGATTCTGCATATACTTTGAAGATGCCACAAATTGGAACTGCGGACAGACTGAATGTGGGTGAGAAAGAGCTGAGAAGGAGTCCCAAGTTTTGAGCTTAGTTAACAGGAAGGAGGAGAATTCGGTATAGTTCCATTGCCTCACGTAAGCCCAGAGTTTAGCCTGCTGTACCGATGAACAGTGAACCCCCAAGCCCCGGATGACAGAAGCCACATCCTCACCCTCCCAAATACAGAGGAGCTGCACCATAAGTGCAATTTTTCACTGCTCTTCTAGGTTCCTGCAACAGGCCTTACTTTCTTCCAAATTCAGCTATGAATTTCAGTTTGCTTGTTATATTTTATCTAGCACTTCTGAGTAGTAATAGTGGCAGGAGGGTTGAGGGGTTAGCTAATCCACCATATCGCTAGATCTTTTAATTTCTCATTAAATTATGTCCTTTTTTAAAAAGATTTTACTTATTCATTTGAGAGAGAGCACAAGCAGGGGGAGAGACAGTGTGAGAGGGAGAAGCAGACACCCCCCAAGCAGAGAGCCCAACTGGAGGCTCAATCCCAGGACCCTGAGATTATGATCTGAGCCGAGGCAGACGCACAACCATGTGAGCCACCCAGGAGCCCCAGATTACATGTCTTTCTTATGGGGAAAGTGGCAACATCTAAACACTATGAAAATATGGCCCCCCCCCCAAAAAAATTTTAAGAGATTTTATTTCACCCTACGGCCTTACCTTCCAAACAAATTTCACTTTTATGCATGCCTGATTACATGAAAAAAAATTACTTTCTCTTTGAAGCCAACTGAATAGAAGTAGCTCAATAAAATATTTGACTAAAGTATTTTAGTTTTTCTCACAATATTTTCACACAGCACATAATCATTCTCACTAAAACCTCTATTTTAACAAAATTGGTTCTCTCTTTTCTCTTGATCTTTATGTAAAAGACTCTACTGCATGTTCTTAGTAAACAGATTTGGCTTTTTAATAAAAACTAGGCCCATAAGCTTTCTCTCAGTCAGTCTATAGGTAAATATGGGTCATGAATTATAATTTGGCAGATTAAACAGGTACATTTATTTTGGTATACTCTCAAAACTCTAATAAATTGATAGGTAAAGCAATAATTAGGGATTTTAATGTATAAAACAACGTATAAAATGTATAATGTGTAATAATAACACATGTATAATGTATAAAAAAACAAGAGAAAGGTGCCTGGGGGGCTCAGTCAATTAAGCTTCTCTTTGATTTCGGCTCAGGTTATGGTCCCAGGGTGGTGGGATTGAGCCCTGTGACAGACTCCACACTCTGCCAGAGTCTGCTTGGGATTCTTTCCCTATCTCTCTCCCTCTGCCCCTTCCCCTGCTCACACTCCCTACGGTAAAATAAGTGAGTTCAAAAAAAAAAAAAAAAAGAAAAGAAAAGAAAATAGAGAAAAGGGGCACCTGGGTGACTCAGTGGATTAAGCCTCTGCCTTCAGCTCAGGTCATGGTCTCAGGGTCCTAGGTTCAAGCCCCACATCGGGCTCTCTGCTCAGCAGGGAGCCTGCTTCCCTCTCTCTCTCTGCCTGCCTCTCTGCCTAGTTGTGATCTCTGTCTGTCAAATAAATAAAATCTTAAAAAAAAAAAAAAAAAGAAAGAAACAAGAGAAAAGACAACAGGTAAGAAATGTCAACAATTTTGGAAGCTAGAAAATGGATTATGAGTATTCGTTAGCAAGTTGGTAGAGAAGACAGTAAGATGCAAGCCGATCCGGGTCATAGAACCTTGGAAGGGATCAGAAAGTGGAGAACATGGTATATGTAAGCATAGACATGCAGTGTTTAAGTCTGAGAAGAAGAGACCAAGTATAAAGGCTCTAAAAGGAGTATGTTACCTGCAGGGCCTTTCCCACGTTTTACAGCCATATTGCTTCCTCTCCCTACCCCTGACAAAGGATAATAAATATTATTTAAAGACAATATCAGAGAGGCTCTAAACTCAGACACCATGTGCAGTTCAGGCCAGAGTGACCAGCATATTAAAGTCAGATGGATTAAGTGAAAAACCTGATCTTGAATATCTGTATTTTGAATATGGTGACCATTCCCCAATCTCTGTCTACAGAAAAGTTAACAGAAGGTAATACATCCTCGAAATAAGGATAAAAAAACACATGAAAGCTTACTCATAGGACAAAAGAGATCTTTTGGAAATAAAAACAATAGTAAAAATTTAAAATTGAATGGAATTATTATAATATAAAGTCGAGATACTCTCTCAGAAAGGAGAGCAAAGAGAGAAAGAGGAAAGATAAGGAAGACAGTAAATTAGTCTGAGAGATCCAACATATGAATAACAGCAATTTCAGGGGCACCTGGGTGGCTCAGTGGGTTAAGCCTCTGCCTTTGGCTCAGGTCATCATCTCAGGGTCCTGGGATCGAGCCCCACATCGGGCTCCCTGCTCAGCAGGGAGCCTGCCTCTCCCTCTTACTCTGCCTGCCTCTCTGCCTACTTGTGCTTTCTCTCCATCAAATAAATAAATAAATCTAAAAAAAAAAATAATGGGAGTTTCAGAAAAAGAACATGAAGGAATCAAAGGGGAGGAAATCAGAGTAATACAAGAAACATTCCTAGAACTAAGTAACATGAGTTTCCAGATTGAATGAACAAAACAAGGACCATAGCCGGCTATGTAATCCTGAAATTAAAGAACATCAAGCAGGGGAAGAGAGATTTTAGTTTTCAGAGAGAAAACACAAAGGCTTGGCCATTAGAATAGCACCACATTTCTCAATAGCAATGTACAGGTGCTGAAGAAAAGCAGAAGAATGTTCTGTGTTAGGCACTGTTGGTGATGTAGCGGTGAGTGAAGCGTACCAAAACCTCTGCCGCCATGAAGCTCACTTTCTTGACAATAAGTAAAATTTGCACAATGTGGGGCACCAGGGTGACTCAGTCAGTGAGCATCCGACTCTTGATTTCGGTAGTTCCGGTTATGATCTTAGGGTCGTGGGCTCGAGCTCCATGTCAGGCTCCATGATGAGAGCAGAGCCTGCTTAAGATTCTCTCTCCCTCTCTAAAAAAAAAAAGATAAAAAATAAAAATTTATATAATGCTAGATAAGAGGTAAGTACTCTAGAGAAAAATAATGTATTGAAGGGGAATATTATTTTTCTGGATGGAGAGGGGAGTAGCAATGTCTTTAATGAATTAATTTTTTTAGAGAGAGTAAGTGAGCAGGGACAGGGACAGAGGGAGGGTGCAGGAGAATCTCAAGCTGACTCCATGCAGAGCGCAGAGCCCCACGCGGGGCTTCATCTCATGAGCCTGAGATCATGACCTGAGCTGAAATCACGAGTCGGCTGCTTAACCAACGAGCTACCCAGGCTCACCATGGGGGTGGGGAGTAGCGATTTTAAATAGGGTTGTAAGGGATTTATAAGTGAAGATGAGGAAACTGAAGCTCAAAGAGTGAGTAACCTGGTCGCGGTCATGGAGTTAACAAAGCTCACACAAGCCCAGCTGAACACAGTAGGGAGGGCGTCTGGAATCTTGGTGCATTGATCATACCGTAAAAGCTGTTCACGCTTACTGAGACTCTGAGACTGGTCAAAACCAAGGTCAGGCTATGCTTTCAGACAGCTCTGAGGAGGACTGGGGTGTGCCCACGAATCCACATACAGAAAAGAAAACATGATGTTTGTGTTCATTTTTATTTCAGGCCAAAGAATCCCAAAAAACAAGAAAGGCTCTTAGGAGGATGTGGTGGAAACACTTCAGAAAGGTCATAATCATCACTGTGGTCATTCTCCTCTCCATCATCATCATTCTTCTAAGTATGAATGTGATACCAACCTGACCCCTTTCCTCCCTGTGCCCAGCAATTACCAATAAATGGTTACGTGTAAACAGAGGAGTCCACAACCAGCAATTACGAAAGTATCCTCTGGTGCAGGAAGACTGCAGGAAGCGGGGCTTGGATGTCCTTCCTCGTGCCTCGGTGGGCCTCGTCCCTGCTGCAGTCCCATTTGTTGTTCCCACTTCCAGCTATTTCCCAGCCTCTCGTCCCTTCGTCAAGACGAGGAGCACAAACCGTGGAATCACATCACTGAAGCTTAACCCTCCACTCAGCCACATACCAGCTGGGTGACTCTGGACCAGTTATTTAACCTGTGCCCTTGTCTCCTCATCTGTAAAATGGAGCTGATAGCAATACCGCATAGCATTATATCTACCACATAGCGCTATCTGTTAACTATTACTTCCTAGGGAAAAAAATGATTGCGTTTGTGGCATTAAATCTCTATTATCTTACTCCTTAGGAAAAAAATGACTGTGAACTTCTAATTTCCTTAGAAATAGGAGTCTTAACACGAGTACACAGTCCAAAAACAGACATTCACCTCTTCTACATATTCTTTCATTTGAAATGACAGCTCAACCCACTGTTTTATACTAGACATTTCCTTGGATAAAAATTTTTAAATTACAAGGCTGTATTATTTCCCTAATAAGTCACAAGTCCTATTTTACCACCCTAACAACCTTTTTTATCCCCCCACGTGATACACTTCATCCAATAACCTCAAATCACTAAGATTTCTAACAACCAAAGCATCCAACTTCACTTTGCGGTTGTTAACACTTCATGAGTTGTATCTCCTAAGTAGGAACTTGAAGTCTAAAGTTGGTTTTAAAAATCACTCGTTGGGGGGGCACCTGGGTATCTCATTCACTAAGTGTCTGCTCGAGTCATGATCCCAGGGTCCTGGGATCGAGCCCCACATCCTGCCCCCTGCTTGGCAGGGAGCCTGCTTCTCCCTCTGTCTGATGCTCCCCCTACTTGTGCTCACTCTTTGTCAAATAAATAAAATCTTTAAAAAAAAAATTTAGTGGGGCACCTGGGTGGCTCAGTTGGTTAAACATCTGCATTCAGCTCAGGTCATGATCTTGGGGTCCTGGGGTTGGTCAAGCCCCACATCAACCGCTGCTTCTCCCTTTCCCTCCGCCCCTCCACTGCCATGCTTGCTTCTCACAAATAAAATCTTTTAAAAAAAATAAAAATAGGGACGCCTGGGTGGCTCAGTTGGTTAAGCGGCTGCCTTCAGCTCAGGTCATGATCCCAGCGTCCTGGGATCGAGTCCCACATCAGGCTCCTTGCTTGGCAGGGAGCCTGCTTCTCCCTCTGCCTCTGCCTACCACTCTGTCTCCCTGTGCTCGCTCGCTCACTCTCTCTCTCTCTCTCTCTAACAAATAAATAAATAAAATCTTTAAAAAAAAAAAATAAATAAAAAAAAATAAAAATAAAAATCATTTACTGATCCATAGGGAAGAATAAAAGAACAGGGGTTCCTATCTGCTAAATAACTCATTTTAATTCTGATAATGATCAAGTATCAGCATTTTTTAAAAGGATTTTTATTTATTTATCTGACAGAGCACAAGCAGGGGAAGTGGCAGGCAGAGGGAGAGGGAGCAGCAGACCCCCCACCGCCACGCTGAGCAAGGAGCCGGACACAGGACTCCATCCCAGGGTCCCAGATCATGACCTGAGCCAAAGGCAGACCTTTAAAGGAGCCACCCAGGCGCCCAAGTGTCAGCACTTTAATTAGGCACCAAGCTTGTTCCTCCAGCACAATATTAACCTTTCCATTCACAAAATACTTTTTATAGGATTTTTAATGTTAGAAACTTTGGAGTTTCTGTAATTTATATCCAGGGGAAAAAATAGGTGATATATTGAACATGTACTCTGATATAATGTACTAAGTGCTTTGGGCAAAAAGTCTCTCATTAGGGGCGCCTGGGTGGCTCAGTGGGTTAAGGCCTCTGCCTTCGGCGCGGGTCATGATCTCGGGGTCCTGGAATCAAGCCCCGCATCCAGCTCTCTGCTCAGCAGGGAACCTGCTTCCCCCCTCTCTCTGCCTCTCTGCCTACTTGTGATCTCTGTCAAATAAATAAAAATAAAAATCTTAAAAAAAAAGTCTCTCATTAATTTTACAATGACATAAAGAGGTAGAAACTATTAAATATAATGTAAGGCACATAGAACAGTGGCTGGCAAAGAAGTGCTAGGTAAATGTTTGTTCGCAATCTATTTGGCAGATGAGAAAGCCGCCAAGCTAAATGCCATGCTCAGGATCACAGAGCTAGAAAGCTGAAGATGTCACTTACTCAAGTACCAGCTGTGCATATATGAAACCCTTCCCTTGAACTCAAAGTGTATTGTCCCATGCCATAAGTTAACTGTGGGCCAGATAAGACGCAAGACATGAGTATTTTCACTTTTTGCAGATTGGGAGGTTGTTTTGTGAGGAGGCTGGGGAGAGACAGGAATCGGAAGAGGGGGTGGTGAGGCGAGGAATCGTCATGTATTTGGCTGCTATTATTTTTGAGGCCTATACAGTGTCTCCCAACATTTCTGTAATTTGTAATCCTGTAGAAAATACACTTGTGGGAGCACGTGGGTGGCTCAGCCGGTTAAGTTGCCTACCTTCAGCTCGGGTCATGATCTCAGGGTCCTGGGATCGAGCGTCTAGTCAGGGAGTCTGCTTCTCCCTCTCTCCTCCCCAAGCTCATGGGTGCTCTGTCAAATAAATAAAATCTTTAAAAATATATCTGTTTGCTAATCAGGAGTACCAGACATCAACCTAAGGATCACCTCATCTCCCCCCTCCCCAGTGTCCCCAGTAGGATGCCAATACCCAGGAGCCTAGAACTGAAGTGTGTGACCAGCTCCTCGCTCCCCGCATGGAGCACCCTTAACCCAGGCACAGGCTGTTACCCCAGTTGCAGGCGGTGAGTTCCACATGATGCCTGTTTTCCTAGAGCTTTAGAGTTAGGAAGAAGAAAAGCACTTGTTTAATAAGGAGCATTTACCTGCTCTCTGTGCTACCCTTGTCAGAAAATGCCTGAGTAGAAAGAGACAAATATTAAGGCAATCTTAGACTCTTCATTTACTTCTGCATTCAAATATTGTTCAGCTCCTATTCTGCACCCAAACAGTTCTAAAACATCAGGATTTATTTTAAGTCACATTGATAGAGACAACGGATGTTTGAGAAATTAGGGGCTATATAAATGGAAGTATAAGAAATAGACCTAATCCCAAAGGAAGCTTACATTCCAACTGAGGAGGCAAGACCAATAAAACTCACAAACACATTAAAATAACAATGTCTACTTAAGTGGTACATTGCACGGCAGAGAATAAATTCCAGAAAGATAATCAACACCAGCTTCAGTCACTGAGGAAAATTGCATGGGTTCTAAGTAGGATAGTAATGGAATCTTATTAGAAATTGAATTTATCTTGACAAAGTCAACAGCAACAGTGACGTGACCGAGCATTTACTATGTGCCAGTAGCTGTTTAAGTACTTCAGAGATTCTCAATCCCCACAACCCTCAGGTCAGGACTGTTCTTTCCAATTTACAGTCAAGAAAACTGAAGGATAAGCAGTGTCACTTGCCTGATTCCACGGGGCTCGTAAAAGAAAACCGGATCAACAACGAAGACATGGAGGGCCATGGGGGTGCAGGTGGCTTCCTCCAGCCGTGCACTCATGCATCAACGGGGCTGCCGCAGAGCCCAGCCTGTGTCTTCATTTCCCATGCTCTCTGTGGTGCTTTCATTTACTCCCTTAACATTGCCTTCTCCAGCAAATAGCCTCTTTTGAATTCCAAACTGTTTTCTAACTCTCTACTGGATATCATGCAAACACCTTACATTTTAAATCCCCAAACTCAACCACCTATCATTCTTCCTTTCCCCACAAAAATGCTTACATGACTTTACCTCTATAAAGGGTATCTCACTATTCTATAATCCATATTGTTTTAGCCTATTTTCTGCTCACTTCAGGAAACCCAGAAGTGTTACAGAAGCAAAGTGGGGTCCCGGCAGATGGCTAGGGCACTCATGCCATTACAGTGCACAGCCATATGTCTCAAGCTTGGCCTTATTATACTCTTCATATTCAGGTCGCCCAGCACAAACAGGTGTTAATGCTTGATACGTTTTCATATGCATGATTTCCACAGCTCTTGAACAGTCATAGCAATAAATATGAAGCTTTGGTTTTCAACCCTAAATCATCTGACTTACCTAAGCAATAGAGATGCCTGGGCTCTACCCCCTCAAGTATCTAGTTAAGGCTGAGATATGGCCTCAAAGTGTGTGCCTCATCTCACAATGAAGAGCCACCAACCCCAAAGAACTCTTACATGCCTATCATCCAACACCCATACCTGAGAAGACAGTTTTCACTTGAAAAAACTGATGCTTGCAGAAGTCAAATTTTCTTTGCCCAACATCACAGGGCAAATAACAGAGCTGGACCTCAGAAACATTCATTTGAAATAATTAGTTCCACGGACTACATTAGATTACTAATTATTTCAATTTCTAAGAAATTGAAATAGAATGTCTCACACATCTTAATACATCTTAAAAAGGATTCTTTTAACTTGTTTTAAAATTTCATATTATCTCATTATAGAATCACGGCAGAGACTAAAATAACAAAACCCATTATTTAATTTGGCCTGATCTTTAGAACAAAAAGGCCAATCACAAGCTGGTTATAGACCCGTTATTTGTGGCAGAGACCTGCTCGGCACCACACCATGACCTGCCACAATGACACCTCTTCCCACAGGCCAGCAGTAAGACTTGACCCATACTCCTCAGAAAGTTCTCAATGGACACATAAGAAATGGAATAGTGAAGCAATGTTGTTAGGCTTCCTCTGTATTTACACAGAGTGTGAACACTTTGGCTAACATTAGTGCTACTTTACACATCTAATACAATAGGTCATCCTCTGAAAAATCTACACGTCTGCATGACCAGCAGATGCCCACCAGCCCTCTCAGTGCCTCACATTTGACAGCGAAACCGCTAGAGACAAAAGACAGTCTTCCTACTCCTACTCTTCCTCCTCGTGAACAGTATGGAGAAAACTCGAAATTTCCCTTTTTCTTCCATTAAATCCAGTGACTCTTCAACTTAAAGCACTATTTGACCATTATGCCTAATCTAACTTTCCAAAGAATCCCGTCATTTAACATTATTATGACATTTTAAACATGATAGTAGTCTTACCTTTTCAACTAAGAAAATAAGACCTGTTATTTCAAGGTATCCAGCCAAGAGGGGAAAGCTTAACTTAAAAAGAAGAAAAGAAAAAGACAGTGCAAAAAATGCATGAGTGCTATAAGAGTTTA